GTGTAAGAACCCTCTATGTCCCATTATCAGCAATACTAATTCTACATTTCGGATGTGTAAGAACCCTCTATGTCCCATTATCAGCAATAACAATTCTACCTTTCGGATGTGTAAGCACCCTCTATGTCCCATCAATGTCCCATTGTCAGAAATGCTCACTCTTGATCATTATACCTTTCAGATGTGAAAGCGCCCTCTATGTTCAATTGTCAGCCATGATCATTCTACCTTTTGAATGTGTAATAACCCTCTATGTCCCATGGTCAGCAATGATCACTATCCCTTTCGGATGTGTTAGGCCCTCTATGTCCCATCAATCTCCCATTGTCCGCAATGATCACTTTACCTCTCGGATGTTTAAGCACCCTCTATGTTAAATTGTCAGCAATTATCACTCTACCTTTCGTATGTGTTAGACCCTCAATGTCCAATTGTCAGCCATGATCATTCTACCTTTTGAATGTGTAATAACCCTCTATGTCCCAATGTCAGCAATGATCTCTTTACCTCTCGGATGTTTAAGCACCCTCTATGTTAAATTGTCAGCAATTATCACTCTACCTTTCGTATGTGTTAGACCCTCTATGTCCCAATGTAAGCAATGATCACTCTTCCATTCGGATGTGTAAGCATCCTCTATGTCCCATTATCAGCAATACTAATTCTTCATTTCGGATGTGTAAGCATCCTCTATGTCCCATTATCAGCAATAACAATTCTACCTTTCGTATGTGTAAGCACCCTCTATGGCCCATTATCAGCAATAACAATTCTACCTTTCTGATGTGTAAGCACCCTCTATGGCCCATTATCAGCAATACTAATTCTTCATTTCGGATGTGTAAGAACCCTCTATGTCCCGTTATCAGCAATAACAATTCTACCTTTCGGATGTATTAGTCCCTCAATGTCCCATTGTCAGAAATGATCACTCTACCTTTCGAATGTGTTAGACCCTCAATTTACCACTGTAAGCAATGATCACTTTACCTCTCGGATGTGTAAGCATTCTCTATGTCCCAATGTCAGCATTGATCACTCTACTTTTCGGATGTGTTAGGCCCTCTATGTCCCATGGTCAGCAATGATCACTCTACCTTTCGGATGTGTTAGACCCTCAATATACCATTGTCAGCAATGATCACTTTACCTATCGGATATGGAAGAACCCTCTATGTCCCATTGTCAGCAATGATCACTCTACCTTTCGGATGTGTTAGACCCTCAATGTACCACTGTAAGCAATGATCACTTTACCTCTCGGATGTGTAAGCACCATCTATGTCTCATTGTCAGCCATGATCATTCTACCATTCAGATGTGTAAGCACCCTCTATGTCCCATTGTAAGCAATGATCACTCTACCTTTCGAATGTGTAAGCACCATCTATGTCTCATTGTAAGCAATGATTAATCTACCTTTCGAATGTGTAAGAACCTTCTATGTCCAATAGTAAGCAATGATCGCATTATCTTTCGAATGTATACTCATCCTATTGTCAGCGATAATCACTCTGCCATTCGGATGTGTAAGCACCCTCTATGTCCCAATGTAAGCAATGATTACTCTACCTTTCGGATGTGTAAGAACCCTCTATGTCCCATTATCAGCAATGATAATTCTACCTTTCGAATGTGTAAGCATCCTCAATGTCCCATTGTCAGAATTGATCACTCTACCTTTCGAATGTGAAAGCACTTTCCATGTCCCATTGTCAGAAATGCTCACTCTACCTTTCGGATGTGTTAGCACCCTCTATGTCCCATTGTCAGCAATGATCACTCTTCCATTCGGATGTGTAAGCACCCCCTTTTGTTATATTGTCAGCAATGATCACTCTACCTTTCGGATATCCAGTACATTCATCATTGTTCCACAGATGACTCCCGCGGAGGTTATGATTATCAACATAATGAACCAATGCTGGTAATTGTACTGTGCATTTTCCACGTCAATCCTAAGTATATCAACAAAATAACGTAAAAAAATATATAAAAATGCAATTCATATGTTGTTCAAACGATCATTTCAAAATCTTTTCGCTGTCTTTTTCTTCCAAATAAGAACAGCCATTTTAGTCTGATTTTTTTTTTCACATTGTAGTTCGCTCAAAATACATCAAAGGTCTCGCACTATAGAAGAGTATTTTTGTTCATATGTTGTCTCGATATACTGAATGAGACACTCAGAAAACAATTTTAATGATACTCACACGTTATGTCTCTTCAGTATATGTCCAGATGCAACAAATGACAGCGCGATACTTGCAGTCCTCAATAAGAACATCAACCCCGAAAGGGTCCCTACATTTGAAGCAGGACACAGGACCACGATGAGCTGCCACATCATAATCTACAAATACCATTTATCAATCCAAATTGTCTGTAATATGGGTAATGTTTCGATCAAAGTTACCCAGTCATACGATTAAATGCATCAACAGAAACGAGAGAATATCACAATATCGCAGTGCAAAGGTAAAAGGAAAATCAGATGAAGATGTCGGGAAGATAATAGTATCTTCTGTTTCATTGAGGGTAAACGCCATATAAAATAGGTCACATTCAAGTATTGTCATTTCTCAAAGAGACAACCGTAGAAGTTACAACAAAACCACAGTTCCACTATTGGTCAAAATGAAAAGTCGATTGTACATTGTATATCGCACACGTAAAAAAAGCCTTACACAAGGTGATAATGATGGCGGACATCAAAGCTAGCAATATCTTGTTCCTTCAACCTGCTTCTCTAAACCCTGTCTGGTGTAAGGTTTTATGTGAGCATTCAACATCTATCAATACTAGATACTAGTGTGATGCTATATACTCTTCTAATTAATGGAATGTGGAGTTTAAAGAATTCAAAAGATCTGAACGGCAGAACATTTGACGCTATGCATCATAAAGAAATAGAACGAAAGAGGACGCTTATTGAGTTAAAGTTGATTTAGATAAAAAGAACACTGGGAAGCCATGTACATGTAAGTACATGTAATTTTGATCAGTAGTGAACATCCTCTCCTCAAAAAGTGCTACTTCTGTCAAAACATTTCACTTTTTGACATTTTATTTTACCATATCTCATATTAAGCTAAATCATTCTTTTGCTTATTATTTGAGGTCTTTTCCCCAAGAAGGACGAAGACTATATAAAAATAGTGTTGTACATTATTTTGGGGGGTATTTTATGGAAGGCACATCAAAGACCGAAATGAAACATACTTAGGATGGAAAAAGGAGAGTATTGAGTTCATGGTTGACAAAATCTTCCTCACAATAGTTTTACTTTACATTTTAGTTTTCAGATAATATATTTTGATACATTCAATAAAGCGTCCGCACTATACAGACCAATCTCTGACTATAATTAGGATATATGCATGATGTTTTCCTGGGACAGATATAACCGCATACTAAATTGTATGTATCCTGTTGAGTTGTGTTTAACCATTCAATTCAATTTAACTTTATTTCATTTGCATCCAAACAACGTTACATTATAAGGATCGAACAACAAGGACAGTTTTGGATAACTATATAGCCCATTTATAGATATATGTGAGGTATGTGTCATGTCATAGCGGAGTTTTGTTGTCAGCACTTCAAAACTTTAAGTTTTCATATAGTAGGGCGCTCTGGCCCCTCACCAGACATCTATCTGTCAAAATGTCTAAAGTCTGGTGTCAGAGCCAGAGGAAACCTGGGCTAAAGCTAAGTCTGTATCACTACTTGTATTTCTCTTATTTTTATCGCATCATCAGTAATACTATAGTATGTTGAAGGTTTTGCTTCTTATCTCCATTTCATTTTGGTTTGTTAAAGCACTATTCCGTCTTTGCGTATTGCAGAGTTATCTTCTCTTGGGAGCAGGTATTGATTGTTACGTCATTGGTTTGTGTGAGAAAATTACGTCGTTTTCTCAAAAATTGATGACGTTACTCTCACAAACAAGTATCATAAAACACAATTTGGCTACTCAAATTGTGAAAAAGTTTTTCCTGTTTGGTGGATCTTAAAAATTGTCTTTATTTGTTAACTTCAAAGATTGTAATAAATTCCATAATTGTTTCGGATCACTATTAGGAATATCGTTCATTTTGTTCAGTAAAGTAGTCTTGTATGTTTTCGTTTTTAGTGTCTTCATTTTATTTAATAGTTTGGAAAATTAAAGAAATTTCAACTGCAGCTGGAAATCCTATTTTGATTCTTTTAACCGTTTTACGAAGTTCAAGACATTCTTTATCAGTACAAGGTGATTAGGTTTAGGTTTACCTTTTTTTTTTATTCTCCAAGAAACATACATTTGTTTTTTTTCTTTCATACATTTGTTTGTAGTTGATACTGCCGTTGTTGCAAGTTCTATACATTCTCTATTTAAATTTAGCTAGTTTATGACTGCTAATTTCCTCCTTCATGCTGAATTTTTACACTTCGTTTTTAAGCTCCACGAAGTCATCTTCGTAGTAAGGAGATGAAACAGTTTAAGCCGCATTCTTTTGTTAGAGTTTGAACCAGATTTTATGTAGGATATTCCTTTTGAAAGATTATTCATTATATATAAAATGATTCTGCCACTGTTTCCCTTGGATTTTCGTTTCTTCTGCCCTTTTTTTGATACTGTTTTAAAGCCTTCAAATTTGGTATTTAAAGATTCACATGTCCAAGTTTCGATACGTATATGTATGTCAGGCTTAATCTCAGATACATTGAGATCATCTTTATGTTTCTCTCCGAAGCCATTTATGTTCCAGCATGGCAATACAATAGAATTGTTCATGTCACTAATATAAGTATTCTGCAAATAGGAAATAGTAAGGTAAAAGTCATATGACGTTAAATAAACATAAAGTTGATGTTATAGTACTATCATAGCCAGCTCTAGATCCAATAGGGAGTGACGCGGAAGACAATACTTATATATTTTATATATACTGCAAAATGCTCTGCAGTAGGAGGCGAGGCTTCGACAAGACAGGCAGCAACACAACCTTCATTCCAGTAACCCACCAACGTCAACTTACAGAAACTATGACAGTGCTTATCCCGTCAGCCAAGATTAGAACACTAACATTGATAGCTGGACAGAATCCAAGGAGGGCATACACAGGCACCATCCACGCTATGAAAACTATGGTCACTATCCCGTCACAGTCGACCCTCTTCTGCAATCAAATACGTATGCGTTAGCAACGCTGGTTAAATATTACATAAAAGAAGTTAAAAAATCGAAATCAAATTTGAAGTATTACTGTACATGTATAAATAAAATAAAACACTTCCATGCTTACACATTATCTAGATCATTGGATTACCATGAAAACGACAGAATACAAATAGAAAAAGAGATGAGAACTTCCCATTACTGGGTAACACTACTGTTGAGGTGTAAAACGTCTTGTTTCGTTTTGTGTAAGGCCTCAGTCACACATTTAGGGTTTTTACTGCCGTCCTTGATGGGACCACTCCCGATTAAGATTTTTCAAAAGTGTGATCAAGATCCTGTGTTTCGTGGCGGGAAATTCACAAATTTGTGAAAAAATTTATTTAATCACGACAACAATCAGATATTGTTCTCGAAGCGTCCCGATTCCGCCGTTTCCAGACGAATTCGTCCCGATTCTCCCGTTCTCAATCAGAATCTGATCCGATTTGTATCTTCCGCATGGTAAACAACAATCTGTCCCGCAAGCGTCCCGATTCTCCCGAACGCGATCCGACAGAGACCAGACAGTGACCGGACAGTGACCGGACAGTGAACCGACGCATTCGGTAAGATCTGGACGCAATCTGGACTTAATCGGCAAGAAACTGCGATGAAAAATGTCTCCAAATCTTGCCTGTTCATCACGACAGCGTCCCGATCCACAGGACACCGTCAAGACACCGTCCAGACAACACAGGATATTGTTACGATTTTGATCCGATACAGCAGAATCCGGCACGACATAGTCACGATTGTAGTCCGACTAGACAAAATCGGCTGAGTTTTCCGAATGTCAAACGGGAGCCATAATCGCACTGTGTGAACGCCGCTTTACAACGTACATAATCTGATTTTACATTAACGGTTGTTTTATTTAAAGAAGACCCGGGAATCAATAGTTAGTGAATGGAATAATTGTTCAATCACTGTAAATAGCTCATGTACTTGAATATCACATTGAGTCAATATGGATATGCATAGCTTTGGAACCATTTCAGGACAGCTATTAACTCATTCACCCCTGAAGACACATTTGGACTTTTCCAATTCAAAGGTTGTAATAGTTCATTATGCAATTTCAGGGGTGAATGAGTTAAATGGAAACCAAAAACACAATTATAATTGGAAAGTCTAATTGTATATGCACCGATATGCATGCACCAAATTTGTTATTGCACAAATCCCAAGTCTTGCCATACCAAAGTTGGTTGACATCAAACTTTGCAGGGGAGTTATTGCATGGAAACCAATTAATGTAGAATTATGTAGCCACGCGCATCATGCGTAAAATATGGACGCAACACATTGGCGATCGAAATTATCATGAGACATGTTTTTATGTATGTGTATACCGAATTTGGCTGAGAACGATTTTTTGAAGGACAGTTTTGCACGGAAACAAAACAACAAATAAGATTTCGTTGTCGATCGAACTTAGCCCGAAATTTGCCATTATTTATGTGTATACCGTATGCGTTAGGAAATAAACGCTGTTCAGGAAACTATAACATGGAAACAAACTATCAAATCAGAATTTAATGGCTTCATTAATTATGCGTTAATATCCATCACATTTGCAATCAAACTTGAGACATGTCATTGCTTATGCGCATGACTTTGGTGGAAATCGGACTATTTATAGGGCAGTTATCACACGGAACAAAATAATCCATCATAATTAAGTATCTTCATTTTATATGGATGGATATACACACGCATCCCACTGGAAATCGAGCTTAAGCTGAGCTTGGAAACCAAGCGTGGCAGACGGTTTTACGAAGCGTTAATGTCATCACACAAAACAACAGCTGCATGAAAACAGACGACACTTAATTTAAAAGAACGTTTTCGTGAACTCACGAAGATATCAGCGGCAAAATTAATTAAGTTGATAAAATTGTCTGCATTACACATAGCGCTTGTCATGATATGCTTTGTTAAATCCAGATAATTGTGTTGGTCTGCTACGATCCAAGACAGAGCGAATATGTCCTAAATAAAAGCATGCACTGCAGTACATAGCTAATCAGATAAGGAACAAGTTCAAACCCGGAAAGGTGAGGTGCCCACGTCAAGTTTGTATCAACGCTTGGGTCTGGAATCCTAGAAGTATTTACGTCATATTTACAGCTTACAGTATAGAAAAGCAGTCACTATCACGGGTCATAACTCTACAATTGTGATACTTACCAGTATTAGACTTACGAGAGGACTCAGAAAGAACATAATTGGAGATAAACCGGTTAGGTAGCTTGCCTCATTCATCGTATAACCATGACGTAACTGTAAATAATCTCTACAATGATAAAGCGAGTCGTATATCAATTAGACAGCCTTTCTGAAGCTTCTTTCAATATTGATGTCTTACATTAGCAATTTGAATTTAAAGATATGTCATTTTGGTTATAAATTGCGGTAATTCCACTCATGTAATTTAAAATCTTTTGTATAGGATACTTCACTGATTAACGTTAAAGTACATAACAGCATCAACAAGGAACCTGTACACACTTGATAGTGTAGAATACTGAGGTGATGCAAACATTGCCTATGACGTAATCATTAATCATTGATGATGATATCAGTAAGAAGGCATAAGTAAAGTTCAAGTTTCTTACGGCAAATTGGCTTGTTTAGGAATCCAACTCGCAGAATATAACGAAACTGCAAGTATCCACAGCCAGTACGACCCCGGTAGCGCCCGAAAGTCTGCAAGTGTCTGCAAGAACATGTTATCTTTATTTCATACACACTTGTAATTCTACTTCCCATTATTAACCTTCAAAGCAATCCTAGATTTTCATGGCAGTTGTCTTCGATGAAACAAAAACGTTTACTCCTCCAAACCCTGGTTTCATTTTCGTTGTATTTTCCCCAATGTTTCCATTTTTAATTGACCGTTGTTGATATATTGCTCAAGTTTAATATATGTTTTTAAATTTCAAATTGCGGTTATATAAACTCATTTTTTCACCGTTTTTTATAAGAGAAAATAATAATGATAATAATAATTCGAGGTTTTTATATACCGCTTTATCACCGAGCTCGTAAGTCGTCTCAAAGCGGTTCACACATTATTATCCGTGGTTAAAGAGCCTTTGCAACCAGCCAACATCAGCCGGTGCTGCCATTTCGGCGCTCACAGCTTGGATTCAAAATTCTAGCACTGCCCAACCAAGTAATCATTTATAGCTGAGTAGACTGAAACGAGCGGAGTAAAGTATCTTGCTCAAAGATACATGTACATTACAGCGCCGTGCCGTGACTCGAACCTGCAACCCTTCGGTCACGAGCCAGGCGTCCTACCTCTAGACTACCTGCCTCCTAAAACTAAACCGTTGTTTTTCAATTGAAAAAATACAATTGTCCATTTTACCGAGTTTTTCCGGTTATGCATGAAAGACCAAATCTAAATTACAAAAAAAACCAAAAAAAAAACCGCATGGACGGTAAATACTGCTTACCATTATTGTGTTTTTTTGATAATCATCTGCTTCTTGTGGTGTTTGTCGTTGAAGAAGAAACACTAAACCAACTGCACACAAAACCCCAAATCCACAGGATGCTACACCTGTAACGAAGTAGTGTAGGGATGTGTAACTGTACTCAGATCGAACTTCCTGTTTAACATTAAGGAATTATGATTTAAGTACTAGATATCACAAAACGTGTCAATATTACATGCACCACATGTGACACCCGGTAAAATTGCGTCCCATTAATTATCCCTCGTGAGTTAAATGAATTTCAGTTAAATTATACTCGTAGCAAGACCTTCTCCTTTTTTTTCGATTCCGATATCATACTGCACAATATAAAACATTGAGTACTTAATATTTTCCGGTTAATCTAAACCTCATTGTTGAGATACATGCGGTACTTAAACGTGTTACATTCTTTAGGGGAAAATGATATGGTATTTCATTGACTAAACCCAAAGGTAATTAAATAAATAAGACATAACAAAACATAAAAAGATATGTTCGAGGGATAGTCAACATTATAATCAAAATGCACAAACAGAAAAGGGTTATACTATCTGTTTTCGATCTTTTTACCCACTAAAATAGCCGCAAAGCTTGAAGTCATTCGCTCATTAAAACACTGCTTCTTATTATTTATCACATACCTATGTTATCTTATAATAGTAATACAACAATTTTCTGTTGATTTTTTCTGTCGGTTTGTATCACACAAGATGTTGTATCACCATACTACCCGGAACTACTTTTATGGGAATCCCCTAATCATGGCGAACTGAAAAGTTCCCGGTATTTGCAAAAAAATATCAAAGTTTATAAACAATTTGTATCGATCTCTACCAAATACGGAAGGAATGTGATAAAAGCAAGACCACACACTTGTGTTTTTCGAATCAGAAAGCACTCATGTATTGCGCGGACGTATATATTCACTCGTGCGTTTCGCGCACTCGTGAATATAGTCGTCCGCGCTATAAACTCGTGCTTCTGATTCGTTACCAAAACACAAGTGTGTGGTCTTGCATATGTACCATATATTGCTATGGTACATTTATGGAGCATATTCTCATTATAACCATACCTAGCCACAGGGAGGGTGTGAACGCGACGAATCTGGCAATGTAAGGCGTGATGTAAAAGCTTAAGCCCTCTCCGCAATACCCAAATGAAGAGATGGCGAGAGCGCTAAATGTAGCTCCTGGGAAACAATGAGCTACCACTCTGGCCTGCACAACTATGGACAACAAACAGCAAAAATAGTGTAAATGAATATATGATCATACCACTGTATAGTGTGAAAATTACCTAAACACGTGTCAAAGATTGAAATATTTGATGGCACTGGACAAAATAGGTGGCGGGAAACAAGCATGATGGGGAAAAACGGAAACCTTATACAATCAGCAAAACAAACGTCTGAGTGATAAATGGATGTAAAAGCTATGAGTTGACGTTGGTATGATGTAAGCGATGGATAGAATGGGTGTGATGATGGTATTGAGTCGGAATGGTGATGTTAGAGCTATAAGATGGAGTTAAAGCGACGATGTTAGACGTATGGGATTAAGTCGAAGTGAAGATGTTTGAGCAATGAGATTTATGCAGAGTGACGATGTTAGAGGTATAGGAGGGAGCCGGAGTGAAGGGAGTTAAAGTGACAATGTTAGAGGTATGGGATGGAGTCGGAGTGATGATGTTAGAGGTATGGAATGAAAGAGGTTTGGGATGGAGTCGGAGTGATGATATGAGATTTATGCAGAGTGACGATGTTAGAGGTATAGGAGGGAGCCGGAGTGAAGGGAGTTAAAGTGACAATGTTAGAGGTATGGGGTTGAGTCGGAGTGATGATGTTAGAGGCATGGGATGGAGTCGGAGTGCAGATGTTAGAGGTTTGGGATGGAGTCGAAGTGATGATGTTAGAGGTATGGGAGTTAGAGGTATGGGATGGAGTCGTAGTGGGATGGAGTCGGAGTGACGATGTTAGAGGTATGGGATGGAGTCGTAGTGATGATGTAAGAGGTTTGGGATGGAGTCGGAGTGATGATGCTAGAGCTATATGGGATGGAGTCGTAGTGGGATGGAGTCGTTTGGGATGGAGTCGGAGTGATAATGTTAGAGGTATGGGATGGAGTCGGAGTGATGATGTTAGAGGTATGGGATGGAGTCGGAGTGACGATGTTAGAGGTATGGGATGGAGTCAGAGTGAAGGGAGTTAAAGTGACAATGTTAGAGGTATGGGATGGAGTCGGAGTGATGATGTTAGAGGTTTGGGATGGAGTCGGAGTGATGATGTTAGAGCTATAAGATGGAGTCGGAGTGACGATGTTAGAGGTATGGGATGGAGTCAGAGTGAAGGGAGTTAAAGGGACAATGTTAGAGGTATGGGATGGAGTCGGAGTGACGTTGTTAGAGGTATGGGATGGAGTCGGAGTGATGATGTTAGAGTAATGGGATGGAGTCGGAATGAAGATGTTAGAGGAATGGGATGGAGTCGGAGTGATGATGTTAGAGTAATGGGATGGAGTCGGAATGAAGATGTTAGAGGAATGGGATGGAGTCGGAGTGATGATGTTAGAGAAATGGGATGGAGTCGGAATGAAGATGTTAGAGGTATGTGATGGAGTCGGAGTGACGTTGTTAGAGGTATGGGATGGAGTCGTAGTGATGATGTTAGATGTATGATATGGAGTCGGTGTGATGATGTTAGAGCTATCAGATGGAGGCGGAGTGACGATGTTAGAGGTATGGGATGGAGTCAGAGTGAAGGGAGTTAAAGGGACAATGTTAGAGGTATGGGATGGAGTCGGAGGGATAATGTTAGAGTAATGGGATGGAGTCGGAATGAAGATGTTAGAGGTATGGGATGGAGACGGAGTGACGATGTTAGAGGTATGGGATGGAGTCAGAGTGAAGGGAGTTAAAGTGACAATGTTAGAGGTATGGGATGGAGTCGGAGTCATGATGTTAGAGGTTTGGGATGGAGTCGGAGTGATAATGTTAGAGGTATGGGATGGAGTCGGAGTGACGTTGTTAGAGGTATGGGATGGAGTCGTAGTGATGATGTTAGAGGTATGATATGGAGTCGGTGTGATGATGTTAGAGCTATCAGATGGAGTCGGAGTGACGATGTTAGAGGTATGGGATTGAGTCGGAGTGACGATGTTAGAGGTATAAGATGTGGTCGGAGTGACGATGTTAGAGGTATGGGATGGAGTCGGAGTGATGATGTTAGAGCTATAAGATGGAGTCGGAGTGACGATGTTAGATGTATGGGATGGAGTCGGAGTGATGATGTTAGAGCTATAAGTTGGAGTCGGAGTGACGATGTTAGAGGTATAAGATGGAGTCGGAGTGATGATGTTAGAGGTATGGGATGGAGTCGGAGTGACGATGTTAGAGGTATTGGAGCGAGTCGGAGTGACGATGTTAGATGTATGGGATGGAGTCGAAGTGATGATGTTGGGGTATAAGATGGAGTGGGAGTAATGATGTTAGAGCAATAAGATGGAGTCGGAGTGATGATGTTGGAGGTATAAGATGGATACGGAGTGATGATGTTAGGTGTATGGGATGGAGTCGGAGTGACGATGTTAGAGGTATGGGATGGAGTCGGAGTGATGATGTTAGAGGTATGGGATGAAGTCGAAATAATGATGTTAGTGGTATGGGATAAAGTCGGAATAATGATGTTAGTGGTATGATATGGAGTCGGAGTGATGATGTTAGAGGTATGGGATGGAGTCGGAGTGATGATGTTAGAGGTATGGAATGAAGTCGGAATAATGATGTTAGAGGTATGGTATGGAGTCGGAGTGACGATGTAAGAGCTATAAAATGGAGTCGGAGTGATGATGTTAGAGGTATGGGATGGAGTCGGAGTGAAGATGTTAGAGGTATGGGATGGAGTCAATGATGATGATGTTAGAGGTATGGGATGGAGTCGGACTGATGATGTTAGAGGTATGGGATGGAGTCGGAGTGAAGATGTTAGAGGTTTGGGATGGAGTCGGAGTGATGATGTTAGAGGTATGGGATGGAGTCTTAGTGAGGATGTTAGAGGTATGGGATGGAGTCGGAGTGATGATGTTAGAGGTATGGGATGGAGTTGGAGTGATGATGTTAGAGCTTTGTGATTGATTCGGAGTGCCGATGTCAGCTAGAGGTTGAAGTTTAAGTCATAACGGAGAGTAGGAATTTAAGAGTATTGGCTTCGCATGGGGAATCAAAGGGAGACAAACGACAGAAAAAATAGCAATACAGCGGCTACCAAATACAGCAGAGACGGTATTTAGCTGACTGTGCCGAAAAAACGGCAATCATAGCTTGTGACCATCTGTAATAGAAAAGTGATTTAAACAAAAGTGTCGGTTCGTCACATTGACAACGATTTAGGTAAGGTGCCGAATTTCAGTTGGAGGCAGTGTTGGCTTATAACGCCAGCAGAGTCATCGATAGACATTATTATGTTGTTTGTTGAAAGAAACATAGCTCTATTGGAGTTAAAAAGTATTGTATTAAAAATAAATATTGGCGATTAAATGATATGAAACGGGTCATCGTCATATATCGTGATATGGAATGATCGATAGTCGTACTGGCAACATTAACTGAAGCTGTACGTAAAACGTTGATGCTTACACAGTAGACAAAACAGGAAATAAACACATTTAAAAAAATCAAGACTGGGGAAATAAAGCATTTTCGGAAAAAACAGGAAATACAATTATACATAATTACTGGTAGATTTATGATAACTATAACAGTGATACAATTATAGACAATGGCTGATGACCATGGAAAGTGCTTCACGAGAAATAATGATATGAGGCGGGTACAGTTCACGCAGTAGATATAGCTATAGGTGAGATACAATGATAAAATGTCTGGTGATCATATGGTAAATATAACATTATATACATGTACAATGAAGAAAAAATGGCTGAATGTCACGCGGCTGAAACTAGAACATAAAAAACCCAATGAAATAGCTGGTAGTCACTTATCCTTAATACATACAACGTAGAGGCCCATCTCCAACAGTCAGACAGGCGAACCCCACCACCATCAGTACGTAACTTGGAGTTGTCGCAGGATGCGTCATGGTCCCGACGGTGAAGAGGACTGACCCAAGCAAGCACATAATGCTAAACAGAATCGCAGAACCTAGAACAGACAATATATATGCTACTGTAATCTGTTTCATCAGTATTTACATGAACGTGGTCATAAAGGCACGTGTTCTTACAATGCCGTTCTTTCCCATCATAAGGCGGGGATTGCAATTATCCGAAGTTTTATGGGGATAAAATGTATTTGTGTGTGATGAAATCCGGCTTTATAATGTTGCTTATTCTACTTTTGACAAATACAATGTCATTGTATTTAAATTTATGAAATATGCTCAGCAGGTTCAACTACACATGGGCACATCAGATCAGAATGTATGGACTGATACGATGTACACTACAAGCGCTTGTCTTGTACTTACGACTATTTCCAAGTCTATCAATGAGGAATCCGAAAGGCAGACAAATGACGACTGAACTGTTAACAAAAAACGTCGAAAGTGTGTACATTTTTACGATTATTTACCTACATGCCTTTCATACCTATGTTTCGTCTGATCTGCACCCAGTGTCATCATGTCTGCGTCGACTGATGAAGTTGACCAAGCCTCCTAAAAGATGCTGTAGTCACCCTGAATTCCAACCGCCTGATAAGTCATACGTATTCAAAGACCTCAATTAAAAATCAAAACTAATATATGAAATTTCAATATACTGAATTGTACATTGGTTATTCAAAAAATCACAGCCACGTTAACTAGTCGGGAAAAAGGCATTCAGGCTGATATCGTCATAAAAATAGTTCACTGGAGTTATAACATGTCAATCTCTTTTGCGACCCATACGAGTGCTAAAAAATGACATTTAGTTTAAAGTTTATTTATACGCCTACGTCAGGCGGAGCTTTAGTTCTCTTCTACAAGCTGTTGAGAGAAATTCCGACCTAAAATCAAGATTGATGTTGACATGCGAAACCACTAAAATCATAGTAAAATCCCTTGTAAAATTATGTTTTCAGTACGGTCGCAAAAGAAATTGACAAGTCCGGTGGGCTATTTTTACAAAGACATTAACCTAAATGCTTTATTATAACTACGTTAGCCAGGTTATGTATCTTTTTAATAGCTAATATATAAGTTCAATATATTTAAATTACATAATTATATAAGTTCCTATGTTAAATAAGGGTCTTTGAATATGATTTATCAGGGGGTTGAAATTTAAGGTGACTATAACATCTATTAGGGTCTCGGTGAACGAGAGTGCGAGTCGCCCGAGTATTTTTACTCACGCTATCCTGTGTCTCTGCTCGTGCATACGTCACCACCTTTCTTAACTCTGTAAAATGCTATTGATCAAAACGGATCTATCAATTATCTCTGCAGGTCCCTGATAGTCTCTATTATATAATGTGTAATTTAATGAAAGAGTAGTATCGTTGCGGTACTGCAATAGTTAAACAAGTATATGTACATGTACATATAATTCGTATAACTCGCATTGAAAACGAAAGTAAGATTGTCTTTGATATCCAACCTATCTCAGAGTAAGTTTTATGCGTTCAAAAGTCTATGCATAAAAAAGGAAAGACACAGAAAGTTTACATAAATGTAACTTTTCAAATTGATTTTAATTACAAAGAATCGAAGAGATATCTGTTAATGGCCTATGGGTAATGTGTTTAATTACGCATACAATATATATCATTAAACAATCAAAGCAATTAAACGTTATGTAATGTAAATGCTACGTTAGTATTCAGTTCATCTTATCTCTTCAGGATGAGACACTACAAAATTATCGACGTTTTTGAAAACACAGTAACTTCTGTATCACGAGAGTATACAATACATTTGTATTCAGAAATTATCTCTCTTTTCAAGCATTTTGGGAAATATTTGTGGGTGCGTGTCACAGAGCAATGACCATTTGTAAGGTCATCAAATACGTACGTCCATCTGGCAATGGAGAATAATATGTTATACCGGACCTCTCCCAGACCGAGACACACGTTACAGTTGGCCTGGTCCTCCGTGTGGTTTGATACATTGTAAGAATACTGTAAACAGAAAATACTTACAACAGATTTAATAAAACAAAGTGTTTAACAGATAACCCCTTATCGGAAACTTTCGTCAAATTGGATTTTATAGTACAATATAAAATTGGTCTTTGTGTCAGCGGGTTGGTTTATGATGCGCATCTATGCAAAAACAACGTAGAAGAGGGTGTCATGGTAAGAGCAGGGAGTCTGCTCTACCTAACAACTGGAACACCTCTCACTAGATAATATTGTACAATTTAATTAATTACATGTACTTGCTTAATCTGGTAGGCCAGGGAGTAAATCACTCAGGAATACCCCCCCGCCCCCCCCCCGCAAGATATTTACATACAGAACACTACATGTTTCATCCATACATTTACAAGCAGTAAATACTAGTTATTAGGAATAGATCTACACAAGCTAGAACAGTCATTGTTGTTGATAATAAGGTGTTTTGCGGTGGTGGTTTTTTCAATGTTAAATGGCATTCACAAATAGTTCTTTGAATCATTTAAATTTTGATTTTAGAGCAAATTACACGAGATTTGTTCTATTAGGAATGAAAGATAATAGATGATTCATTTCCTGTAAAATCTACGGTTTTGAAAAAAATCCTAAATTCCTAAAAAAGATATATGAAACCTCGATAAAAAAATCCCCGTTTTAAAGTTATAGTTTTATTTCAATCAATATCTCATATTAATCGCACCAGAACAAATTCCAGAAGACGTTTGCAAGAAAATTTTACATTTCTTAAAAATTTGTAAGAAGAAAAGCCATTCTCATTTCTCGTATTGCATCCCTATGCCAATGACACTGAAAATTGCAATTTAACGACACAATAGACTATTTGATGGTGTAATAGCTAGAATTTCTTTATGTAAAATACGAGTTACATTCTTTTGTGGGCTTCTGCCATCGATTTGCACTCTTAGCTTAGCTTCCAACTGGCCTCTCTATACATACCAAAGACAACACGACTCGTTTAAGCCGTGTAGTATATGATAGAGATAATGAATTTTCTAATTCAGTGAAACCCAAGGCTTGGCGAGGGTTTTGTACCGATTTGAAAGTCTTTAAAACCACTGAGTAATATCAAATAATTAAACCTTCGGATATTTCTATGATTTGCTTACTTGTCAACAAGAATAAAATTAACTGACGATTTCATTGTACGACATTTGATTTTTCTGTTTTCGGAAGCACTGAAAGGTGTGAGTGAGTGGACGATCGGTCTATACTGACCACCAGGTTGTGTCTGACCAGCAGACTGATATTTGTCAAAAACTGCTATAAATGGTTGACACATTACTTAAGTATGACATAAAAATGACACATTATAATGTATGTTTACTATTAAAATGGTTAATGAAAGTTTACCATTAAACATGGTTAATGTATGTTTACCATTAAAATGGTTAATGTATGTTTACTTTTAAACATGGTTAATGCAAGTTTACCATTAAACATGGTTAATGTATGTTTACCATTAAAATGGTTAATATTTGTCTACTTTTAAACATGGTTAATGTATGTTAACCATTTAACCATGTTTAATGTATGTTTACCATTTAACATGGTTAATGTATGCTTACCATTACACATGGTAAATGTATATTAACTATTTAACCATGTTTAATGTATGTTTACCATTTAACATGGTTAATGTATGTTTACCATTAAACATGGTTAATGTATGTTTACCATTAAACATGGTTAATGTTTGTCTACTTTTAAACATGGTTAATGTTTGTCTACTTTTAAACATGGTTAATGTTTGTCTACTTTTAAACATGGTTAATGAAAGTTTACTATTAAACATGGTTAATGTATGTTTACTATTAAACATAGTAAATGAAAGTTTACCATTAAACATGGTTAATGTATGTTCACTATTAAACAAAGTAAACGAAAGTTTATCATTTAACATGGTTAATGTATGTTTACCATTAAACATAGTTAATGTATGTTCACAATTAAACATGGTTAATGTTTGTCTACTTTTAAACATGGTTAATGAAAGTTTACTTTTAATCATGGTAAATGTATGTTTACCATTAAAATGGTTAATGTTTGTCTACTTTAAACATGTTTAATACAATTTTACCATTTAACATGGTAAATGTATGTTTACTTTTAAACATGGTTAATGAAAGTTTACCATTAAACATGGTTAATGTATGTTAACTATCAAACATGGTTAATGGATGTTTACCATTAAAATGGTTAATGTTTGTCTACTTTTAAACATGGTTAATGAAAGTTTACCATTAAACATGGTTGCTTTACTATGTAACATGGTTAATGTTTGCTTTACTATGTAACATGGTTAATGTTTGTCTTCTTTTAAACATGGTTAAAGAAAGTTTACCATTAAACATGTTAATGTATGTTAACTATCAAACATGGTTAATGGATGTTTACCATTAAAATGGTTAATGTTTGTCTACCTTTAAACATGGTTAATGAAACTTTACCATTAAACATGGTTGCTTTACTACGTAACATGGTTAATGTTGGCTTTACTATGTAACATAATTAGTGGTTGCTTTACTATGTTACATAATTAATGGTTGCTTTTCTATGTAACATGGTTAATAGTTGCTTTACTATGTAATATGGTTAATGTTTGCTTCACTATGTAACATGTTTATCGGTTGCTTTATTATGTAACATGTTTAATGGTTCCTTTACTATGTAACATGTTTATCGGTTGCTTTACTATGTATCATGTTTAATGGTTGCTTTACAATGTAACATGTTTAATGGTTGCTTTACTATGTAACATGTTTAATGTTTGCTCTACTATGTAACATGGTTAATGGTTGCTTTACTATGTAACATGGTTAATGTTTGCTTTACTATGTAACATGGTTAATGTTTGCTCTACTGTGTAACATGGTTAATGTTTGCTTTACTTTTTAACAATATGAGTGAAAGGCTTGTACAGCTGTATATGACATGCTAGTTGTCAATCCCTTTCTTCTTTAGATATGTGTGAATGTATTTAAATGGAATTTACAGTTTATCTGCAAAATAGTTTTCTGTAATCCTATAGTCAGTTAACATTCTAAACGGCGTGATAACATATCTAAATGAATATGAAGTAAGGATGCATCACTTTATCGGTATAAAAGTCCATGAAAAAAACAATATCGAAAATGAGTTTTACTGCACACTATGAAGTTTCCGTCCATTTAGAACACATCAAAAGTACTATAGGTCAATAGAATTAAAATGGGTATTTATATAATTGTGTAATAGAAATAGGATCATCACTTACTGGTCATCTCGAGTAGCTTGTTATTATAACAGACATCGGTTCATCACCTACTGAGTGGTGTGTTGATGTATAATAGACATTGGTCGTCACTCACAAAGTGTTTTACGGTTATTTTAGATCATATTGGGGAATAAACGATTAATATCAACAGAAAATTATTAATTGTTCAAATCTTTTAGAGTCAAAGGGAGATCTGATCAATTTTTTTCTCAATGCTAGCTTTAGTTTCGATATAATACAATTTTGAAAATGATATCCAAATCTCTTAATTTTTATTTTGGTAATTATTCTTACCTTTCAATTGTAACGATGAACAGCATAAAAAAACTTGTATAGTTAAAATGTCAAAACAGTACATCAAATGAAAACTGTATACATCAAAATATTTCTTTATATTGCAAGACAGTGTCTTGGTCCGTTTTGATATAAGTGTCCCGTTTTGGGTACACTGATGGTAGACATAAGTCAACATTCACTGGGTGATGTGTTGTTTTGTACTAGACAGATGTCGTCACTCGCTGAATGGTGTGTTGTTGTGTATTAGACATATAACGTCACTCACTTAGTGGTGTGTTGTTACGCACTAGACATCGGTCATCACTCACGTAGTGGTGTGTTGTTGTGTACTAGACATATGTTGTCCCTCGCTGAGTGGTGTGTTGTTGTGTACAAGACATAGGTCGTAATTCATTAGGTGGTGTGTTGTTGCATACCAGACATATGTCGTCACTTGCTGAGTGGTGTGTTATTGTGAACAAGACATAGGTCGTCCCTCACTGAGTGATGTGTTGTTTTGAACTCGATATAGGTCGACACTCACTGGGTGGTGTGTTGATGTGTACAAGAGATGTGTCGTCCCTCGCTGAGTGACATGTTGTTGTGTTCTAGACACCGTTCGTCACCCATTGGGTGGTGTGTTGCTGCATGTTGTTGTGTACTAGACATATGTCGTCACTCACGGAGTGGTGTGTTGTTGCATACTAGACATATGTAGTCACTTGCTGATTGGTGTGTTGTTGTGATTAGACAAAGGTCGTCACTCGATCGCTGAGTGATGTGTTGTCGTGTACAAGAGATATGTCGTCACTTGCTGAGTGGTGTGTTGTTGTTTACAAGACATAGGACGTCACTCATTGGGTGACGTGTTGTTGTGTACTAGACGAAGGTTGTCACTCACCGAGTGGTGTATTGCTTTGTACTAGACAGATGTCGTCACTCGATCGCTGAGTGGTGTATCGTTATGTACAAGACATAGGTCGTCCCTCACTGAGTCGTGTTGTGTTGTGTACAAGATATAGGTCGTCACTCACTGAGTGGTGTTTTGTTACGCACTAGACATAGGTCGTCACTTGCTGAGTGGTGTTTTGTTACGCACTAGACATAGGTCGTCACTCAGGGAGTGGTGTGATGTTGTTTACTAGACATAGAACGCCACTCACTGAGTGGTGTGTTGTTGTGTACTAGACATAGGTCGTCGTTCACTGAGTGGTGTGTCGTTATGTACAAGACATAGGTCGTCCCTCGCTGAGTGACAGGTTGTTGTGTACTAGACATAGGTCCTCACTCACTGAGTCGTGTTGTGTTGTGTACAAGATATAGGTCGTTGTTACGCACTAGACATAGGTCGTCACTTGCTGAGTGGTGTTTTGTTACGCACTAGACATAGGTCGTCACTCAGGGAGTGGTGTGATGTTGTGTACTAGACATAGAACGCCACTCACTGAGTGGTGTGTTGTTGTGTACTAGACATAGGTCGTCGTTCACTGAGTGGTGTGTTGTTGTGTACTAGACATACATTGTCACTCACTGAGTGGTATGCTGTTGTATACTAGACATAGGTTGTCACTTTCTGAGTGATGTTTTGTGACGTACATATGTACTAGACATAGGTCGTTGCTCACTGAGTGATGCACCAAACATACTTACATGACTATTCATGATCTCGTTTTGTAGACTGATTGGGATTTGCAGAAAATAATAACCTCCAAATATCAGGAAACTGTTGCAAAATAGCACGCCGTATCGCCAACATGCTAAAAAGGGGAAAAAGGCAAATGAAGCAAATGATTTAAGCATTTATATTTGCCAAAATTTCAGTAAAACATAAGAAAATTACCTTAACATTGATGAAGATGAATCTATTCTCACAATTTTAGAGTCATGTCCACGTGGGCGAGAAAACAATGAAACTAGTTTATGACTGAGATTTGAACTCTAGACGATTGCTGTAACCACTTATCAGCCCTCCTGTGATCGACCCAGTCAATGTTCAGGACTCTCCTCACATATAATTGGTGTTTTTCATTAAATATCAAATGAATTGAGAACACGAGCATCGCGAGAGGAAGTATGATACGCCCGTCAGACCCTCGGAAGGGTATTGATATATTGGAAGCAGGTAGTGACATATGATATAAATGTGTTTACTGCCACTGTTTTGTTGGTGACTGTGACCCTGTCATTGATTTACTGTGTTTATGGCGAAAGCTTTTTTTGTGATTCAGAATTACACTTTTGAAGTAAATGTTGCTATTACTAACACTAGAACCTTGGCTTTGAGGTAGGAGTCTTGAAATGCAATTTGCACCCAGATATTATAATATAATATTCATAATACATTAAATATTGAGGTGAGAAATTCGATTGTAAGATGAATGATAGTCAAACGTGTTTCATTTTATTGAAGACGAATGCTGAAATAACAAGGAGTTGGTGTTGCTGAAACACGAACTCATTAAAGCTATCTTAGAACGTTTGAATATGTGTATAAATTTGGTATGAGCATTTGGAACGCGACAACAAACCTGTTATATATGTTAAACATGTTTGATTTTTGTATTACCATACTAAATTTGAAAAGAATTAAACAAATAATTAAAAAAAATGCTGTTTCGACGGAATGCTCTGATTTGGCAATAAAAAAAAGGGCATTACTCTGCAGAATAGCGTTTAAATGCCACGATTTAAGAACTCATTTAAAGCATTCAGGCAAGGAAACAACCAAGAAGTTTAATAAAAATCGGAGAGCAATTGTTTGAGTTATCGTGTAAACAAGCAAAAGTTAACGGCAAAGATGAAGTACAGTGTTGCTTTGTCAAGTGTAATACGCCAAAACGCGGAAAGTTGAAACTCGACAGAAAAACCCCGTAATATATGTTGAGCATTATTGCTTCCAGCATTACCATACCAAATTTGAAAGGAATTGATTAAAAACAAATTCTTGCATTTACTACAAAATGTCCTTATTTGGCAATGAAAGGAGCATAGCCCCGCAATGAAAAAGGGGCAAAAGTCTGCCGAATAGCATTTAAATATCATATATATTTAAATATATATGAATGAAGGCAGGAAAGCGATGACGAAGAAAAGTTAACAGACGGACGTCCGGACGGACGGACAACGCAGCCCATACCATAATACGACCCGTCGGACGACGGGCTTATAAAAATGATAGAAGACTCGCGTATAAATGACCAACGATTTGATTATATTTGCTAATTTGATTAAATTGAGACGGTGGATCAGAATATCCACATGGGCCTGACACGTATAAAAACAACTATTCAGAAAATTTACATGGGCCTGACACATATAAAGACAGTGGGTCACACTATCTACATGGCCCTGACACATATAAAGACAGTGGGTCACACTATCTACATGGCCCTGACACATATAAAGACAGTGTATCACAATATCTACATGGCCCTGACACATATAAAGACAGTGGGTCACACTATCTACATGGCCCTGACACATAAAGACAGTGGGTCGCACTATCTACATGGCCCTGGCACATATAAAGACAGTGGGTCACACTATCTACATGTCCCTGACACATATAAAGACAGTGGGTCCCACTATCTACATGGCCCTGACACATATAAAGCCAGTGGGTCACACTATCTACGTGGCCCTGACCCATATAAAGACAGTGGGTCACACTATCTAAATGGCCCTGACACATATAAAGACAATGGGTCACACTATCTATGTGGCCCTGACACATATAAAGCCAGTGGGTCACACTATCTACGTGGCCCTGACCCATATAAAGACAGTGGGTCACACTATCTAAATGGCCCTGACACATATAAAGACAATGGGTCACACTATCTATGTGGCCCTGACACATATAAAAACAGTGGGTCACACTATCTACATGGCCATGACACATATAAAGACAGTGGGTCACACTCTCTACATGGCCCTGACACATATAAAGATATTGTGATACACTGTCTTTATATGTGTCAGGGCCACTTAGATAGTGTGACCCACTGTCTTTATATGGGTCAGGGCCACGTAGATAGTGTGACCCACTGGCTTTATATGTGTCAGGGCCATGTAGATCGTGTGACCCACTGTCTTTATTTGTGTCAGGGCCATGTAGATAGTGTGACCCACGAGCGCTGTTAGTATAGTGCCAGGGCCATGTAGATAGTGTGACCCACGAGCACTGTTAGCATATGTGTCAGGGCCATGTAGATAGTGGGACCCACTGTCTTTATATGTGTCAGGGCCCTGACACATATACTAACAGTGCTCGTGGGTCACACTATCTACATGGCCCTGGCACATCTAAAGACAGTGGGTCACAATATCTACATGGCCCTGACACAAATAAAGACAGTGGGTCACACTATCTACATGGCCATGACACATATAAAGACAGTGGGTCACAATATCTACGTGGCCCTGACACATATAAAAACAGTGGGTCACACTATCTACATGGCCCTTGCACATATAAAGACAGTGGGTCACACTATCTACATGGCCCTTGCACTATACTAACAGTGCTCGTGGGTCACATTATCTACATGGCCCTGACACATATAATAACAGTGGGTCACAATATCTACGTGGCCCTGACACAAATAAAGACAGTGTATCACAATATCTACATGGCCGTGACATATATGATAACAGTGGGTCACAATATCTACAAGGCCCTGACACCAAATATAATAAAAGTGGTTCTCACTATTTACGCATAAAACGATCTCGATATACCATGTTTGATAATGAAAAAAAACCTATTATTTAAGGGTATTTCTCAGGGTAGTACTTGTTGTTTCGATGTCTGAATTTATATGTGATATAACATGCAAGCATGTCTCATCATCATCATTCTGATACAAAATAAGTTCAACAAAACAATCTTAAAGACAGTTGGGAATATGACAAATGCAGAAGCCTTACCTATCATTGTCACCTCGATCGGGTCCTTTACACTGTGTATATCTCAGCTCCATACCAATAACAACAGCGATGATATCGACATTTCACAGATGGATGTACACAGTGCTCTACTGTTGTATGGTATTCAACCAGGGCAAACAGTGACATGAAAAAAGCAATTTCAACGTTGGCAACAAATGAAATATAAAACGAACGATGTGTAACAGTGGTGAATTTTGTAGATAAACATCAACAAACACTGTGAGAGTTCTTCACGATTTATTGTGCGTAGTTCCCATTCTTTAGACATAAATGATTAAACCCTGCAATCATATAATAATTACATTTCAGATATATGTATGGGATCTACAACTCATTCATAACGCACATAAACATGTAGCACACTGAATTTACAAGAAGTTATCTTGAAATGTTACATGTAAGATTATAGTTCTATAAGTTATAAAAGTTATATTACATCTAGATTTACATTATATTTACTGATATTTATACACATGTAATATTGAACATATGATGTAAATCTTATCTTAGCTCAGTATTTATTGGTACGGAGGTTACTTAATAAATATACAAAGAGTACAATAAAATACATTCATCAATACATTACTATAAGTTTAAAATAGAAAACTGTACCTATTTGTGGAACAGGGCCATTTGAAGTCGTACGGAATTATCCGAGGTTATTACGTGTACTCGTAATTTCTGTATGACAAAGAAACACGTATATATAAAATACAAGTAAAATGACGCAGTATATATATACCGTACAGCTAATAACGAATCAAGAATTAACTAGTATGATCGTATCTATCAATTTGACAATATAAATGGAAACAGATGATTTAGAATTAGAAGTATTAATTAGTGCAAGTTAGTGAATTTCTTACCAGTGTCCTGTCTTGTCTGCTTCGTCAAGACGTCATGTCGTCTCTGATAAATATCGCGCCAAAAGCCACCGGTCACACAAGNGTTCACAAACTCCAATCTGTTGCCAGTGAAAGGGATCTAGGGGTGACTATTGACACTAATCTTAAGTTTAGTGAACATGTAAACCTGTCAGTAGCAAAAGCAAACAGAAATGTAGGAATGATCTTTAGGACCTTTAGTTGTGTAAACAAAGAAATGTTCATTACCCTATACAAATCCCTTGTAAGACCATATCTAGAGACCGCTGTTGTAGTTTGGGCACCCATGCTTATAAAGGATAAGATATCTATAGAAAATGTGCAAAGAAGAGCCACCAAACTGGTCCCTGGTATCAAAGACCTATCCTATCCTGAAAGACTTAAGGCTCTTGGGCTACCAACAATGGAGTACAGGAGACTAAGGTCAGATATGGTTCAAACCTTTAAGATAATAAATGGGATAGACAACATCAAAGATGACTTTCTAAAAATCAATGCAACAAGAACAACCAGAGGTCACAACCAGAAACTTGAAAAACTGAGGTGTAGAAGTAATCTGCGTGCCCATTCGTTCAAATTTAGAATTGTAAATGATTGGAACGGTCTCTCTGATCAAGTGGTTAATGCCCCATCTCTGTTTTCCTTTAAGACCAGGTTAAACAAATACTGGATAAATCACCCCATCAAGTTCGAACCAAGCTTCTACTAATTAGTTGGGTTATATAATTAACACATACAACCTCCCAAATGTTCAATCCAAATTCAGTACTTTTTTTAACTCATCAAACCCTTTAAATATCTATACTTCTAAGTACAGGTATCATGACAGGTCTATACAGGCCTGTCTGTCCTTTTTTATAACTGAATACCCTTATCTTATATGAAATTATTATACTACCCTTGTTATCACCCACTGCACCTGTAAATAATTTTCACTAGTTATTGAGAAACAAGTCTTCTTCAATACCTCCTAATGCAACCGGAAGTGAAGTGGACAGAATTAAGAAGCACCTCAAGAAGCGACTGACGCTTACAACGGTGTCATAATCAATGAACCAATGAACCAAAGAGGCCAAAATAAGGAACTAACTATACCACAATATGAAGATCGCTATTACTATATCAGAACATATGTATATACCGTAATATTATAAATATAGATATCACAAATATCGTCTCTGCCACAAATGTAAAATGGATTCCACGCTAACCGTTTTATAGGTTGAACTAGATGACATCTTAACAAACTTCACACACTCATAATCATACTCAGACTCAACAAGGCATGAAAATAATTCTTGCGTACACAACACACTTAAAATCCATAGGGCCTTTTTATTCTGTATAATTCTTTTAAAACATTTTAATCGAATATTTCCTCCAATACACCTACCTTACAGAAAATCTGTTTACATATTAGAAATTGTAAGATTTTATTCATAGGGCCTCAGGGGCGGAGTCAAATGGGAAAACCTAACTAAAATTGCAAAACCTTTCTTCAAACTCGGATGTTCTAAATTCAAACACATCTCGAGGATGGAATAGTCTTAAGAGTTTTCAAATTAATTGTTAATTGCATAGCATCAGTATGCATACAAACAGAATAAAACATATGGCTGGGTCCAAGTGTTGTTACCAACAAACTGCGATCAAATTATATACATTACAATCAAATTTATTATTGCCAACTAAATATTTCTAACCAAGCGCGGGTAGATGATAGGAAGTAACAAAAGTACGTAATAACTTAATCGAAACCATTAAAACGTATTACTCAACAGCTCGCAAACTTTGTACAGTATGTTTACATAAGAGGCGACTAATGCGGGACCATCTTCAGACTTGTTGTACTTTTGTTCCTTGGTTGAATGGATTTTTAGTTAAATATTAGTAATTGAGATTAATATTTCTGTATCTTTTTGGCTTATCTTTATTTGATATCATTTCACCACAATGTTAGCTTAAGAAGATATCCATGTAAGACCCGTCTAGACATGTTATACTGCTACGTTTTCTGGGGCTTTTGTTTTGCTTTTGTTGTAAAAACTAGGACAGTTGAAGGATCATTTTATTTGTATATTCTTCTCTTTTAACTTCCAAATAAATCATCTTATTACATACCATCTTGGAGGCGACTAGTGTGGACATCTCTATTATACCGAAGATTTCCAAATTGTGAAATTTTAAACCTTTATCTTTAAGATCAGTGGAGGTTGATATAACGGTCAGATATGTAAAACTATAAAAGAAATGTTCTCCTGGTACTTTGAAAAGTTGGGCCTGGTATCAGTAAACGGTTTTTGGAGGGTCTTCAAAAGTCGAATTTGCCCAAAACTTTTCGAACAAGGCGTGTGGCATGGGCGCGAAACGGTGTTATCAGGTAAATTCCACGTGTAGTCGGTATTACTAACTTTGGGACCAGTGTCGGTAACCACTCTGACCTAAACACTGGCAATTCGGTAATTCTGCCCAGCCGGCCACCACAAATGATCTGGCCGAACACATTTGTGCATGGTTATACTACACCAAAAGAAGTATCAGGCATCACAACTACTTCCACACGGTCTCCATGATTATTGGTATTGTACGAGAATTCACAGGTTATCAAACCGGTCGTTTTAAGTCAGTTATTCCTCTGAACTCAGTGTCATTGAACTGTCGCTTGGTGAAGAACAAGTAACTGTCCATCGGAGATTTTGTACATGTAACAGATAAGGACATTGCTACTTTGGCATTAACAGAATCCTGGTTACATTTTGTAGGTTTGCATATCGATGATCAGGTACTAGCAGAGCGAATAGCAACAGGCTATCAATTCCTCAACAACGTTTTAATCAGCAGACGTTGTGGTGGGTGGCTGTTATGTTTAAGAAAGGTATATGTGTGAGGCATCTCTCTCATAACCATGATGGTGTTTACGCACACATTGAGCACATGACTGGTTCTGTAAATGCTGGTGATAGAAATTCAGATTGTGTATCATTTACAGGCCTCCTCCAGCTAAACAGAACGGGTTTCGAAACACTTTGTGTTGATGAGCGGTTTGCCTTTTTAGACCATCAGGTTGTTGTACCACAACAGATTATTTTCATGGGTGACCTAAATTTCCATTTTTATAATGTTGATGCCCTTCAGTTCTCTAGGCGACTTGATTTTCGGGATCTGATACAACATGTGACAGAATCTACAAACACAAATTGGCCACACACTAGATATGTTCATTACAAGGGAAGATAGCCCGATCATTCATGGATAGATTTCAGTGATGGATCGATGTTTAAGTGATATAAAGGGTAACCAACCGATGATCACCATGCTGTCCAGGCAGCGTTGAATCGTAGTAAGCCAGATCGTGCAGGAAAGGAGGTAAGCTTCCAGAAATTTGGCGAAAATTCCATATCAAATTTCCTCAAACTTATTCAGTCTTCTTCTGTCCTGAAGTCCACTTAAAGTTGATTTGATGATCGTGTTGAACCATACATATCTTGTATAGAAGCGCTGATATAGAAACCTTACAAACTGAGGTGAAAATTGTGTGACCTAATGCCCCGTGGTATAATGAAAAAATCCACATGGAAAACGAAACCATAGAAAAGCAGTGAGACGGTGGCAAAGGACTGAAAAATACGTTCACCAACACATTTATAGGAACATTGCCAGCTAGTTAGTTAACTTCTCATTTAATCCTAGAAGGATTGTTGTTCGGAAAAACTACAGAATGTGGAAGGGACGAACGACAGCTCTTTAGCAAAAACCTTATGAATCAGAAAGGTGAAAGCCTCCTACCAAGTTGAAAAGGACTTGTCGAACAAGTTCGGTGATTACTTTCTGAACAAGGCAGCATAAGTGATACAAATCACCTAGCATTCACACGTTGAGGAATGAAATAAATAAAAGAAGTGACCTTGACCTTCATCGTAGAAACCCGAAACACAAATTTGTTCAAGGCATTGTCATACCAAACACTTATATGACGTTTCATGAAATTCCGTTGAGGAATAAACTCAGTAGAACGATGACAACGTTTTTTTTTTTTTAAATAAAAACAGTGACCTTGACCGTCAACGTACAGACTGGAAACACAACCTTGTTCAGAGCATTGCCATACCAAACACTTGTATGGGTTCTATGACATTCCGTTGAGTAATAAAGTCTGTAGATGAAAAAGTTTTTCCAACTTAGTAACTGTGACCTTGACCTTCAAAGCAGTAATCCGAAATGCGAACTTGTTCAATGCATTGCCTTACCAAATCCTTGACATTCCGTTGAGAAATGAAGTCTCTAGAGCGATGGCAATGTACTTTTTCTAAAAACAGCTACAGCGACCTTGACCTTCAAGTTAGAAACCCAAAATAGTGACTTGTTAAAGGAATAGCCAAACTGAATACCTGTATGAAGTTTCATGAAATTCCGTTGATAAAGGAAGTCATTAGAGCGATGACAAAGAATTAAACATACGTAAATACGGACGAATCGACGGAAAAAATATTTGCACAGTGAACTGTTCTGCTGAAAATGATATATCTGTCAGGATTGCTGACATTCAATTGGATGAGGAATCATTTAAAGACATCTCAACAACCAAGGGCGAGTAGCGCAATATCATCATGACCGCGCAATTGAAGTCCTGTGAGCTGGATCCACTTTTCAAAGACCTACTAAAGCAATGTCTTGAAGCACTGCTTACTTTGATTACCTCAATCATGGAACAAATCACTGACTGTGTCACAGGTTCTATTGTGTTT